TTTTAAAAAGTGGAAGTTCCTTCAACTTATTCAAGAGATCAGCCAAGTTTGGGAACCATGCCGTGAGTGGACCCACAGAACCTGCTATTCTGGATATTGGGTATTCATCAATATAACTGCTACATACCTTTCGACTAGTTTTAGACTTGGAATCTTCAGCAGAGGCGGCATTCTTTGCACGCAGAAGACTGATATCGTCGAAATCAGTACACTTTGGCAGAACTGCAAATCTCTCCTGCAGAGGCTCCCTCTGGACTCTGTTTTGAGGAGGGGCGGAATCGCAGCAGAATTCTTTCAGTTTTTCCAGAGACTTTAAAACAATCCTGGTCCTCAGACATTTCCTTGGCTCTTAGTTAGCAAATCAGAAGAAAATATAACAATAGTATTTTGTCTCGTGTCAATTCATAACCAGCATAGGATTTGTAAGAGGGAAATATTAAGCAATATTTATGAAAATATTAAGCAATGACTCTAGCTGTGATATAAGGAAATAAAGAAACCTGGGTTCCGGGTAAAGATGGCATACTTGAAATATACATCTAAATTTCTAATTTCACTTAGTCCTAAAAAACCACAAGAAACTACAGGATTTTGCTTTTAAAAAACGAACACACACACACACACACACACACACACACACACACACAAAAACACCTATAACCTCATAAGTATAGAAAGAAAAGGAGAGGTGAGACTTGCAAATGAAATATCTGAAGCTAAAATGAAAAATGAATGAGCAATAACCAATTTGGCATACTTGAAAGCTAAAGCCTAAATGGGTAGTGAAGAAAACCAAGAACCAGTCCTATATTTACAACACAAAATGCTTAAAAGGTTCAGGAATTAGGGCACCAATAACTCTGAAAGTAGAATGAAGGCAGATTCTACCATAAAATAAAGAGGACTGGTTCCAAGTAATTTGATCCCTAGACACCCTTAGCCTACGCTAAGTTCAAGGACAGCTGTCCTTCCTCCACATCTACAGAGAACTGAAGAATTCTCTGGAAACGGTAAATCAGGCCCGGTTGAGATGCAGTACTGTGCCTAAGACGAAAGAATACTAATGGAAATTCAGTCTGACTGTAGGCTAAGACACACTCATGGAAATACAGTCTGACCACATGATGAGAACCTCTCTGAAAGCCTCTGCTCAGAACAAAGCTCTCCCCTAGGCGGAAGCTGGGAGGCTCTGGGCTGGGAAATCCAACCAGCTCCCCCTGGAAAGACCTAAAGACTCTGACACCAGGAGTGCACGAGGAAGCCGGATCACCACTCCAGACACACCTGCGTTCCTGCCTCCACAGCTCTGCTCACACTATTCTTTCTCCCTGGGAAGGCCTAGCCCCCAATTTCTACAGGATAAAATTGTACTCTTTCATCAAGAACCATCTCAAAGCTACCTTTCCCATGAAACGCTCTGCTAATTCCCCATTTTAAAAGTCATTTTCTTTCTCTACATTCCTGCAACAGATCAAATTTCTCTATAGAACTTATTACGGTCTGCCAATCAGCAGTTACTCCAGAAGCAATCAATCCATAAAAGAAGGGAAACTGATCATTTACTATACATTTACTGGTTTTTTGCTATATAACAGAAAACATTATTTTACCCTTTACAGCAATACTACTTAGGTAGCTACTATTGCATAGATGGAAACTGCACTGCATTTATCATCTCTTACCTTCCCTTTTAAAGCAAAAACACTCTGAAGGCAAGAGTTCTGTTTTGCTCATTTCTAACAGGTTAAAACTTTATTTCTATTTAAACCTCTTTTCAGATGTATACTTTATTTTATCTCCTATTAATCTCATGGCTAGAAAAAAGTCTATTTAGATCTCTCCAATTATATATATTCATCCTATTTACTATTACTCTCACTGTTTCAAAAGAAATACTTGAATCAATCTTCAACAGTATAAGTTTGTATATTATACAAGGGGTTCCTTCCTAAGGATATAAAAAAAAAAAAAAAAAAATTTCCCAAGATGGAGGTGGGGTGCAAATCTTACAAAAGAAAGAATATCTAAAACTGACATGTTAAAAAACTTGAGGTGACAGAGATGTAAAGTACAGCATATGGGATGTAGCCAACCATATTGTGATAACTATGAATGGTGTCAGGTGGGTACTAGACTTACCAGGAGGAATCACTTCATAAATTATATAAATGTCTAACCACTACGCTGTACACATGAAACATAAAATAATACTGAATGTCAACTGTAATTTAAAAAAAAAAGAAAAGAAAAAGAAAGCTTAAGATGAAGTAGCCAGCGACTCTTCTGGCTGGTGGATGCTCCTCTTTCCTTCCCACTACTTACTTTTGTTAAGTAAACTGTATGTAAAGTTCGTATTTCAAAAACTTCCATTCCTATAGCCTTATTTCTACAAGCTTCAGAGTTCATGTAGCCAGATCTGGGGCAACGTGGACATAGGGACAAGGACTTAGCATGAGTGTGGTGAGACCCCCTGGTGGAGTACTTTTATGCCCTCCTTGCCACCTTCCCTATCCTGCTCCCCTACTCCCAAGGAAGGTTTCACCACAAAGCTTCGTTCTTGAGCTGTTGTCAGTTCAGAAAGGCTTATATCAGTTCAGGTATGAGGGTAATAAAAAAATAAAAAAAATAAAAAAAGCGTTCTCCGTCTTCCCTTATCACAAATTCTCCAGGCGAAAAATCTGCTCACCCACCTATATATCCAACACCACATACAGAGGTCTAGGACCTCAGGAATGGTGGTTTTTGTCCAAAACCTTTTCGCATACAGAAAAAGCAGTTCCACGCTGGAAAACGGACAGGGGGGATCTCCATGCCCTGACATTGGTAACTGTTCAAATGTTATGCCTAGAGGGACTCCAGCCCCTACCTCCACTCTCCCAACCTCCTACGTACACGTATAGAGGGGGCCACTTGACTCAAGCACAGCGGAGACCTTTCTCCACAAAGGAAAAAAATGGCAAAACTCTCCAATAGCCTTCTCTGCCCTCTGGATAATGCAAGAGTATCAGAGCCATGACTGGTGAGAATGAAAAATCAATGCCATGGAACTCACCAGGGTTCCCAGATGTTCCTGAATCACTTTGACCTTCCTTTTCTTGGTCTTTCTTTGCTTTCTTTTTAACAGGCCCATCATCCTCTGGTGGACTCTTTGTACTTCTGTCAATTTCTGCAACCTACGTCAGGAAAGTTAGAAAATGATGTGTTCTCTCTCAATCTCAAAACACTATGTATGCAAAATAATTTAAACCCTACTTTTGAATGACAGCAAGGTCCTGGCCATCCTTCCTTCCTACAATCACCTACTTGGAGTTCTGAAAAGACCTATGGGTGACTGTTTTTACCATCATCAAAGACAAAGTGGAGACTGACCGGTCCCTAACCTCAGCTTCTCATGTCCTGTTAGAATTAAATAGAACCAAGGCTGCCACTTTTACTCCGTCAGCCTTCACTTATTTCAAATTATATAACTTGGATTACTCTACTTACACACATTAAATAAAACACCTGCAAGAGAAAAACTATTTATTTAATAAAGGTGAAATTAGATGGACAATAAAAGAACAGTGCCATTTTTGAAATGTTAATTGTAATTTACATGTTATGTTCACCACGGAAGATGCCACAAGATTATGAACATTTGTTGGCAGGAAGCCTGTCAAAAGCTTAAGTCCTTCATCACATACCCTCTAAATGGTGGGTATAAAATAAAATCTTGGTGAATTCATAAAAATGTAGACTACTGTCAAAAAACCAAAACAGGAGAGAACCAATCACTCTATGGGAAAAATATAAATTAAGGAAACAAGATTTTGAAGCAGCCAAGCAGTCACCCTCATGAAAATTTAGAAGGTGGCTGAAAGCCAATCTGCAATCCCCTTCAACATCCTCAGTTTGAGAAATACTGTTGTCAGGGACCCCAGTGAAAGCTCCCCCTTAGGCATTCCCTTGTGGCAATGTCTCTGGTGAAAAACAAGCAAAAAAATAACCTCAGCTTCTCATGTCCTGTTAGAATTAAATAGAACCCACAACTACTTATTGTAGTCAGTCGAAGGGAGGCACCTAACAAAACCTGAATAAATAAATAAAACTCCTCTTAACATTCAATCCAGGGATCAAAAAAAAAAAAAAAAAAAAAAAAAAAGGGATGGCTGGGAGGGAGGATGTAAGTTAAAAGATGTATCCTTGGCCCCTACCCTCATCAGAATGGGAGTCAGGAGACCTGAGTTGCTGTCTCTGGTCTGCCTGTAAGAATCTGTGTGATTTTGGCCTCAAGTCTATTTTCCCAGTGGAAACTGCAATCTTTGAACTACACTCAGGATGGAAGATGGCCAGACTACTCCCGTCTTCACCTGCCAGAATCCGCCCAAAGCTCTCTCCTCCAGCGCCTTCAACTCCCTAATTCTCGCGCCACGGGCCCCGCCTCCTCCCGCTCCACCTACAAGCCCCGCCCCGCCCACCGAGCCCCGCCTCTCCCGTCTAGCCCCGCCCCGCCCGCCTAGCCCCGCCCCCGCCCCCGCCCCGGTGAGCCCGCCCAGCCCTGGACCACACCCACCACGTGTGGCCGCGACCGAGGCCGGGAAGCGGACGCTGGAGGCGCTGCGGAGCCGGAGTCAGGTTCTCCCTCCGCCGCCGCACCGGTGGGGGAGGCGGTGGATCGCAGGCTCCCGCTGGCCTGGAAGAATCTGCTCAGAACCGCTTGCCTCGCAGGGGCTGGGCCAGCGGCAGCCGCGCCGCCACCGCGTGGCTTTTGGCGCGACATCGCGGTGCAGAGACTGACTGCCGGGGGCCTGGCCGAGCCGGGCGCGCGAGCCCGCGGCCCAGTTCCCCGGCGCCCGCGGGACCGAGCACGTCACCTCCCCGCCTTGCACCGGGGCGGGGGCGGGGCGGGGCGGGGAGGGGCGGGGTCTCCGAGCGCCCATCAAGCCGAGGGGGCGGGGCGGCCACCGTTTCGCGCCAAGCTCAGTTCTCAGTGGCTCCCGGGGTTTTAGGGCGCCGCCGTCATGGTTCGAACTCTCAACAGCATCGTCGCGGTGTCCCAGAACATGGGCATCGGCAAGAACGGGGACCTGCCCTGGCCCCCGCTCAGGTACCGGCCGGGCCGGGGGGCGGGGGGACGGGTGCGCCAGCTGCCCCGGATCCAGGCGCCTGGACGGGGTGGCGCTGGGTTGGACTTGCGACCCAGGCTGCCGGGAGCGGGGCCGGGCCTTCCTTCCGCGCCCAGAGCCCGAGCCGGGAGCCCGGGAGGGATTCCGCCCCGCGGGGCGGCCTCCCGGCGCCCTGCCGCCCGGGGCTCAGTCCGGGCCCGGCTGCCGCCCCGGCCCCCGCGCTGTGTGTCGGGGTGGGGGGTGGAGCTGAGCCCGCGGGAAAGCGTCCTGAGTCTCACTCCACGTGTCTTTACCTTGTAGGAATGAGTTCAAGTATTTCCAAAGAATGACCACCACGACGGCCGCAGAAGGTAATGGGGGATTTGTAAGTGATTTTGAGATTCCCCAAGGGTCTTTTTTTTTTTTTTTTAACCAGTGCACATTTTACTTAAAAGTTTTCCGCCGAAACCGGTTTGGCTCAGTGGATAGAGAGAGGGTCGGCCTACTACGGACTGAAGGGTCCCAGGTTCGATTCCGGTCAAGGGCATGTACTTTGGTTGCCGGCACATCCCCAGTAGGGGGCGTGCAGGAGGCGGCTGATCAATGATTCTCTCTCATCGATGTTTCTATCTCTCTCCCTTCCTCTCTGTAAAAAATCAATAGAATACTTTTTTCTAGTTTTCCATAGTAATCAGGGACCTTCTGTCTTACCATTGATCTGTGTGCAATTCCCAATGTTTATTAGACTTTAAAAAAAAAAAACGTTCTTTGAAATTGGACAGATTGGCAGCTACATAGAGGTTGGCTCTGGAGGCCAGAGGAGGCTTTGAAACAGCCGCCTGTCGTGGTAAGGCCTGGACTAACGCGGCGGTGAGGGTGAAAGTCCAAAGAACGGTTACATGACTCGATTTGGAGATGAAGAAGTTAAAGGTGATGCCAGGAAGGCATCAAGGAAGAACCCTCTGGTTTTCAGGTTGAGTCTGGGTGATATGGAGAATTAGGATCCAATTGTAACTATATGAAGGTGCTTGTAGGATATTCAGGCTAGGTGAATTGAGACATTAAAGAGAAGAGGATAAGTAAAGAAAAGAATATGGGGTTAGGGGATACCCATTTAAAACCTAAGCTGAATGTTTGGTCATAGGAGGAGGAATAGCAGAGTAAACAGGGAAATAGAAAGGAGCAGGTGCAGCATAACTTAAACAGAACAGATACAAGTTCCTGGACTTGGCACTTAGGTCAGTGCTCGGCAAACTCAGTCAACAGAGCCAAATATCAACAGTACAACGATTGAAATTTCTTTTGAGAGCCAAATTTTTTAAACTTAAACTTCTAATGTCACTTCTTCAAAATAGACTCATCCAGGCCGTGGTATTTTGTAGAAGAGTCACACTCAAGGGGCCAAAAAGTTGCATGTGGCTCTCGAGCCGCAGTTTGCCAACCACGGACTTAAGTCACTGATGAAAAGATAATGCAAGAGCTTGAAGCCAAAAAATTGAAATGAACCATCCTCTAGAATCCTAAGTCTGACCCTCGATGGTATGGCTCAGTTGGTTGGGCTTGTCCCATGCACCTAAAGGTTGCTGGTTAGATGCCAATCTGGGCACATGCCCCACTTGTGGGCTTGAACCCTGGTAGGGAGTATACAGCAAGCAGCCAATCGATGTTTCTCTCCCTCTCCCTTCCTCTCTATATAAAATCAATTAAAAATATTTTTTTTTTAAATCCTAAGTAGTCTGGAAATGGGAAACAAAATATGGAAAAATGACTAGTCTTACTAATAGTTTGTAAATATTAGTGGGGGTTTTTTTAATCAAGCTACTTCAGGAATCATAAATGTATATTTCTTTGATCCAGAGATCTGACTCACAAGGCTTTTTCTCCTAAATAATTCTACCAGAAATGGAAGCTCTGTATATAAAAAATTTTTAAGGAAAGAAGCACAAATTGAAAGTAGTTCATTTTATTCTTACAAAATATACCTGCATTTTATTTTGTTTTATATATGTATTTTTATTGTTGACAGTATTTCAGATACCTCCCATTTTTCTCCCCTATAACCCCTCTCCACCCAAACCCTACCCACCCACTCCCCAGGTCTTCCAGATTGAAAGTATTTTAGCTAATTGAATGGAATGTTAAGCAGTTATCTTTAAAAGTATGACTATTATTGTAAATCTACAAAGTTCACAAATGCGAGTACTATTAAAGGTACAGTTGAACAGTACTTTTTAGATGTCAAACACTGTTCAAAGTCTTCAGTCCCCACAATCCTAGAAGTAGGAACTAGTACATTATCTCCATTTTGTAGAAAAGGATAGTAAGGCACAGAAGATTAACATGACTTACTCGGTAGATAACAGAATCTTTACTTTTCACTACTATATTATACATGACTGCAATTGATTAAAACTATATTGCATATAAATTGGATAAAACCAAAGGGGAAAATAATTACTATATTTAGATAATGGGTGATAAATGATAAATTTTGGTAAGGCTGTTAAATGTTTTAATTTTTTAAAGCAGTTCTACTAGATGTCAATATGATCATTATATCTATACATACATACAAGTATATGAATATATATACACAGATATATTCTCAAAATACATCTCTTCTCCCGGTGGTTTTATAGGTAAACAGAACTTGGTGATTATGGGTAGGAAGACCTGGTTCTCCATTCCCGAGAAGAGTCGGCCTTTAAAGGACAGGATTAATTTAGTTCTCAGTAGAGAACTCAAGTAAGTACTATAACATAAACTCAGCATAAGAAACCGTGTCCCATTTCTTATGCTGGAGGTCGGTGTATGACAAAATAAAATACTATGAATGTAGCTATTAATGAAGCTGCTTAATACTACATAGTATAACAGAAAATAGGTAGTTACAACTTATTCTGCTGTTTAAGTGAGTGATTTCATTTCCTTAAAAAGTTGCATTAAATCTCACTATGATAACAGAATTGCAGGTTTCCTTGAACTAGCTAGTACTCATTCAATTCAGAAGGGTCAAATATCAGTTATATAGCCGAAACCGGTTTGGCTCAGTGGATAGAGCGTCGGTTTGGGGACTGAAGGGACCCGGGTTCAATTCCGGTCAAGGGCATGTACCTTGGTTGCGGGCATATCCCCAGTGTGGGGTGTGCAGGAGGCAGCTGATCGATGACTCTCTCTCATTGATGTTTCTAACTCTCTGTCTCTCTCCCTTCCTCTCTGTACAAAAATCAATAAAATATATTAAATATATGTGTGTATATATATATATATATATATATATCAGTTATATAATGTAAATAAATCTTTTCAGTTGCACAAAGAATCAAAATATATGTTTTTTTTATGACCAGTTGGCCTTGGCTATGGATTTTTCTGCCCTCCAGGCTAATATAGTTAGTTCCTGATGACTGGAAATGAACAGGAAGGGGGATAAGGGAATTTAATAGCATTAAAACTACCTATGACATCAACTCCAGTGCTTTTGCCTTCACCATAGCTTCCATATCATTTATACTACTTGTGATATATCCTGATTTCTGTATTTTTGTTATTGTTGTTGTTGTTGTTTACATTGGTCCTAACCCACGAAAATAATTTTCTGAACCTCAGGGGTCTGTTTGTTTGGGGGAGTGATTGGCCTGAATTAAACCCTAAGGAAAGGTCTAATTCAATCCCTTTGGGATTGGCATGGTAATTATTATTTCTTAAAACTACTAATGTAATCATAGCAATATCTTACAGTGAATTGGATTACACAGTTGTGGGGGCTGGCTAGGCAAGTCCAAAATTTGTAGGGCAGGCCATCAGAAGGGGAGGCTAGAACTCTTCAAGGGCAGAAGCAGATGTCTGCAGGTGAAATTTCTTCAGAGAAGCCTCAGTTCTGTTTTTAAGGCTTTTCACCTCATTTAATCTGGCCCACCCAGATTAAAGTCATCCTATATAATAAAGAGGTAATATGCAAATTGACCCTCACACAAGATGGCTGCCCCCATGTGGTCAAAGATGGCTGCCACAAAATGGCCAGCAGGAGAATTAGTTGTGGGCAATCAGGTCAGCAGAGGAAGGCAGTTGGGGGCAAATGGGCCTGCAGGGAAGAGAGAACAGTTGGGGAGGACCAGGTCTGCAGGTGAAGGCAGTTGGGAGTGATCAGCCAGCAGGGGAGCAGTTAAGTGTCCAGGGAGTGGTTAGGGGGTGATGATCAGGCTTGCAGGCAGAAGTGATTAGGGGCAATCAGGCAGGCGAGCAGTTTGGGAGCCAGTAGTTTCAGATTGTAAAGAGGATGTCTGATTGCCACAGGCTTCAACCAGCAGTCGGACATCCCCCAAGGGGTCCCAGATTGGAGCGGGTGCAGGCTGGGTTGAGGGACAACCCCCCCCCCCATGCATGAATTTTGTGCACTGGGCCTCTAGTCCATTATAAACGAATCACATTTATAAAACACCTTCACAGCAACACCTAGATTAGAACAGGACTATAGCCAAGTGAACACATCAAAGACCATCAAACCATAAGAAGGAAAAAACATTACACCAATACAGGCTAAGGGGGTTCAGGCTTCTGTAGATTTTCTCACAGATCCCTCCTAAAATAGCTTAGGTAAAAACCTGGAAGAAAGTGTACCAGAATATTTGCATTGCTTGTTTTTGGATGATAGAGAATATGTTGATATGTATCTTGCCATCTTCCTCAATCTTTATACTGTTCTCTTTCTCCTGGTTACTAGGATATTCTGATTACCCTCTACTTGGTATAACCCAAGTTTACAGACTATTGCCATATCCAGAAACTTGTTGTTGTTGGTTTTTTTTGGTTTTGTTTTTGTTTTTGTTTTTTAGGGGAAAAATTTAGAGTTTACTTTTAATCCTGCCTTCTGTTTCCCTGGTCAGTTGCTGGTCAGTTCTACACATATCCTGAGCACCTACTGTGTACCAAGAACTACTGGGTCCTAAGTAAAAGGGGAAGGATTTGCACATGAAAATCACTATTGTTCCTGCAAATTTTCAGAGACAATCTTTCATTACCAGCCTCTTCCCCATGTGAGAAGGAACTGAACCTCAAGATAATCTCAAAATTTGCTGCCCCATACTAGTTATTTTGAGTAGCTACTTACTTAATACATCTTAGGGAGGGCCGGAGATGCTTTTTCATGGCTTTCTATACTATCAAGTTGTTGCTTTAAAAATAATGCTATGCCGCCGGGACCGGTTTGGCTCAATGGATAGAGCGTCGGCTTGAGACTGAAGGGTCCCGGGTTCGATTCCGGTCAAGGGCATGTACCTTGGTTGCGGGCATATCCCCAGTGGGGGGTGTGCAAGAGGCAGCTGATCGATGACTCTCTCTCATCGATGTTTCTAACTCTCTATCTCTCTCCCTTCCTCTCTGTATAAAATCAATAAAATATATTTTAAAAAAATAAAAAAATAATGCTATGCCGAAACCAGTTTGGCTCAGTAGATAGAGCATCGGCCTGCGGACTGAAAGGTCCCAGGTTCGATTCTGGTCAAGGGCATGTGCCTTGGTTGCAGGCATATCCCCAGTAGGGAGTGTGCAGGAGGCAGCTAGTTGATGTTTCTCTCTCATCAATGTTTCTAGCTCTCTATCTCTCTCCTCTCTGTAAAAAATCATTAAAATATATATTTTTTTAAATAATAATAATGCTATACAGCCACATTTGGAAAACAGAGTGGCCCTTTTTCAAAATGTTAAACCTAGAGTTATATGACACAGCAATTCTACTCCTTGGTATATACCCAGGAGAAATGAAAATATATGACCACACAAAAACTTGTACACAAGTGTTCATAGCAGCATCATTCATAGCAACATCTAAAAACTGGAAGCATCCCAAATGTTCATAAAAGATAAATAAAATATGCTATATCCATACAATGGAATATTTATTATCCTATATGATAAAAGGCTAATATGCAAATTGTCCCTCCAACCTGGAGTTTATATAACAATTTTAGTTTTATAATTATTACTTCCCATACAGATTATTTAACTAATATGAATGGCTTTTGTAAAAATTATATGTAATTCTCTTAACCTCAGGGAACCTCCAAAAGGAGCTCATTTTCTCGCCAAAAGTCTGGATGATGCCTTAAAACTTATTGAGGAACCAGAATTAACAAATAAAGTGGATATGGTTTGGATAGTAGGAGGCAGTTCCGTTTATAAGGTAAGTAAAGGTATCTATAAACACAAAGAATTTTTACACTCCACTTTGTTTCAGCTTCCCTGCCATCTGTACGTTTTTAGTCATGAGCAAAGAAACACATTTTCCCTGCTATCGGTTAGACACATTGTCAATTTGACTTCTTGTTGATACTGTTGTGCAAACTAAATAAAAAAGTAAAAGTAAGTTTTTAAGTCTTTTCCAGTTTATCTCCAATTCAACATAGCTGATGTTTCCAATTTTAAAAACATTCTAAATTTCCCTTAGAATCATACTGGACTGCACTATTTTCTGTTCCTCACTGAGTTAGCCCTGGTTCTTCAAACATGTTGAGGAAAATAAAAGGAATTTTTTTTGTGCTTTTAAAACACTCAAGAAAGATTAATATTTATGGGAAGGAAAAAAATCAGCTCCTACCCTTAAGGGCTAATTATTTGAGAAAGAAGAGGTATACCAGGATCTTAGATGGGATTACAAAAACTGTTTCTTAGGTTCCTTTTCTACAACCTTTTAAACAATATACATACTTAAAATTAAATTCATATATATAATTTGATATATCTATATTTAGTAAACAATAAGGAAGTGTAACCTCCAGGTTATAATTATGCATTATCCACCTATCTCACATCACACTAGCTTGTGGAACATTTAGGCTTCTCTTCTTATTGGCCAAAGTGGGTCCACTAGCCTGTGTTTGTCAATAAAGTTTCACTGGGACACAACCACAGCCATTGGTTTTAGTATTGACTATGGCTGCATTTGCCTAAACGTAAGAGAAACTACATGGCCCACAAAGCCTAAAATATTTACCATCTGACCCTTTACAGAAAAGGTTTCCAAACATCATTAACTTTGATACAAACTTTCAAAAGCTGCAGTAGTTAGTCCTGCCCAATTTTCCTAAATTTTGGTACAGCAAGAAAAGGTAGAATATTTACTTGTTTGGGTCAAGAGAATAAATGATATAATATTCCAAGCAGTAGTATTGAAAATAAAAAGTAAAATTTGTTCTGTGCCCTTATTTAGAATTTTAAAGATTAAAAACTTTAAATGTTATATATATATATATATATATATATATATATATATATATATATATATATATTCCCCTCCCCCCCCAAGCTAGAGTTATTGCTTTCTTGGAGCTCAACAGTATTATAGACATTAGTTAGAAAAGTCATTAACAATATGAGGCTAAATACAATCATTAGCAAATAAGAGGCAGAATAAATTACCTACTAACATTGTAACTATCTCCTGAGGAAATGGAAACATTATTAAATTTTGTATAAATGTACCAACTGTGCCCTTGATGTTTTCATTAGTCAAAATCTTGTGAAAGTGTACTATCTTATCCATTTATATATATGTAAATTTTTCTATAGCCAGTAACTAGACAATTCGGGGTTCTTAATTCCTAAGCAACCACCAAAGAAAAAAGACAAAACTGAACAATTAAATGAAAAAAATAGTTCATGTAAGCAAACTAGAAGCCAGAATATATTTTAAATCACTCTCATAATTAGATATAATGATTAGTGCTATTCTCAACATAAATAAGACTACTTTGCAGGGCTCTAAAGTAAAAAAAATAGAGCATCAGCCTGCGGACTGTAGGGTCCCGGGTTCAATTCCAGTCAAGAGCATGTACCTTCATTGTAGGCACATCCCCAATGGGAGCTGTACAGGAGGCAGTTGATTGATGTTTCTCTCTCATCAATATTTCTAACTTTCTGTCCCTCTCCCTTCCTCTCTGTAAAAAATCAATAAAATATATATATTTTTTAAAAAGAATGGGATATTTAAATAGCATTCTTTCATATCTGATACAAACTTGACTATATAATTAAAACAAACAAAATCTTGAGTTCTGTTTCTTTTGACATAAATAATTAAGGAAATTTGTGACTTTTGTTTTATTTCAAAGGAAGCCATGAACAAGCCCGGCCATCAACGACTCTTTGTGACAAGGATCATGCAAGAATTTGAAAGTGATACATTTTTTCCAGAAATTGATTTGGAGAAATACAAACTTCTCCCAGAGTAAGTAAAATATTATATATTATTCTGAAGCACTTTTGGATTTATAGCTTAAGCACTATAGGAAAGGTCCCAGCCAGCGTTGCTTAGTGGTTGAGCTTTTACCAATGAGCCAGGCGGTCCGTTCCTGGTTCAATTCCTGGTCAGGGCACGTGCCCAGGTCATGGACTTGATCCCCAGTGTGGGCATGCAGGAGGCAGCCAATCAATGATTCTCTCTCATCATTGATGTTTCTTTCTCTCTCCCCCTCCCTTCCTCTCTGAAATTAATATGTGTGTGTGTGTGTGTGTGTGTGTGTGTGTGTGTGTGTGTGTGTATATGTTTTGTTTGTTTTTTTGTTTGTTTTTTTAAGAATTATAGGGAAGAGTATGTCTCTCAGATTGAATTTGGGATAGTAATGTGTTTTATAGACAAGTAGTACAGAAAATTTTTGGAATTCTGCTTTAACAGACTTGGGAATGTTCAAGTTTTAGTGATTTTACTGAAATCTAGAGTAGTCCTTAGTCCATTCTATGAGAATTGTATTCAGCATCAAACACTGTCCTGAGCATTGGGGAAAGAGTGTTTACCAAAACAGATGCTATTCACTATTCTCCAGATTACATTTTTGTAGTAGAGAGAGTGGCAAATAATAGATAAACATTAAGAGTTGCTGTGTGGAGAATTGAAATACTGTGATGTGATAAATGCTGTGTAGTCTGAGCAGTCCTCTCTGAAGTGATATCTATACTATTATCAGGGAAACTGGAGTATGCTTTTCCCCACTGGTGCTGGAGCTGGGGTTCATACAATATCCTGAGGAAAAGAATTTTCCGAGATTCGCATGTGAAGATGGGTGATTTTTATTTGTGTGGAATTACATCCCTGGGTTTCCAAGCGCCATCCAGGTCATGGGAAAAGTGTAGCTGGGGTTTCAATAGAGCTAGAAGCAAAGCCAGTGTCCAGAGTTTCTGTTCCATGTTGCAGCTGGTCCACTTCAACATCAGGCTCGTTGCAGTCCATTAGTCCACCGTGTGTGGGGGGATGGCCATGTAGGCGAATGCCAGAAAGCAGGAGCAAGAGACCCTACAAGCTAGGAGCCAGGAGTAACACGGCAAGAGAAACCAAGAGAGCAAACTCATGTGTTCAGAGGATTAAATACCCCAATTTCTCGCCCTTGAGGTGGCCACGCCCATGCTGGCCAATGATCTGTTCCCAGGCGACACTGACAGACAGGCACCTTCCCAGGGACACCCCAACTTTATTGGGCATGCATCTGTTCTCCCTGTCCTGTCCCTTCCCCCAGCTGTTTTCAAGGAATAGACCAGTGGCTCCCTAGGGAGTGGAAAGTTTTAGCTTCCTGGCGGAGCTGCCTAAATGACGTGCCTATAATATTTGGCCTTCCCTTTGCTCCTTTCCTGTTATTAATAACTAGGTTAATTACAACAGTGTTATTACCGGGATCTGAATGACCAGCCAGCCATGCTTAGAGCAGGAAAGAGAATTCCAGGAATCAGAAATAGCCAATGCAGAGACCCGATGACGGACACAAGCTTGGCATGTTCCCTGAGCCTCCTTGAAAGCCATTGAGGGCATTGTGAGCAAGGGGAAGACCCAAATGCATCAGGTCAAATGCAGGAGAAGGAGGTTCTGAATTGAGTGATGTTGTTCTAGCTGTCTATGGAGAATGGACTAGAAGGAAGTGAAGCTGGGAAACCAGTTAGTTGCAGTAGTTCAGATGAAAGATGAAGGGACTTAGATAGTAGTGGTGGAGATAAAAAGAAGAGATTACACTTGCTTCACTGTGTAGTAGTGATTTTAGCATGAAACTGAAACTGCCTGATTTTGAGAACTCATAGCATTTTAGTTTAAAAGAACTTTTCAGTTTTAAGATTAATTATATCAACTCTTGTATTAAGTCTATGGTCTGGTATAGTGTAAGGAACGGGTCCAAGTTCATTCTTTTATAAGTGGCTATTCAGTTATCCTAGCACTGTTTGTTGAAAAGATACTCTTTCCCCATTAAATTGTTTTGATACCCTTATCAAAAATCAGTGAACCATTGCCCTGGCCAGTGTGGCTTAGATGGTTGAGCATTGGTCCTGTGCACCAAAAAGGTCACCAGTGCAATTTCCAGTCAGAGCACATGTCTGGATTGTGGGCTTAATAATAGGGGTGTGCAGGAGGCAGCCAATAGATGTTGCACTCTCATATCTGTGTTTCTTCCTTCCTCTCTCTCCCTCTCTTTCTCTGTCTCTCTCTCTTCCTCCCTTTTTCTTTCATAAAAATCGATAAAATCTTCTTTTAAAAAAAATTGTTTTAATTGATAATTATTTAATTACATGTATATTTCTTTTACAGGTACCCAGGTGTTGTTTCTGATGTCCAGGAGGAAAAAGGCATTAAGTACAAATTTGAAGTATATGAAAAGAATGAGTAATGTGAAGGTGTTTTCTGATTCATTTCAAGTTGTTCCCCAACCCCTCCAAACAATTATATATTTAACATTAGAAAAAGATATTTCTGTTAACAATATCAATTAAAATTCAAAATAACCTGGGTTTGGACACAGAACTTGTACTTCTGGAAATTAATCCTGAACAAAGAGCTGGACCCAAGAGTATTTGTTGCACTATTTTTTTAAAAAAAAAAAAAAACAACAATATTGCAGTTGGGTGCATTATTTTATGCATTAGGTATGTCTATTGTGATTCAATTTTTTAACTATTATGTGTTTAATTTCATGAAAAGTTAATTAAGGTAATAAATTGAGCCCTTTAGATTCAGTAATAGAATTGGGATACAGAACATCAGGAGTAAAAAGGAATTTCCTAAAAATCTTTCATAGAGAAAAAAAGAGAGAGAGAGAGAAAGAGATCACACAGAATAGAAGTCAGTTATGCATAAGACTTACAAACCACAAGAAAATAATGGAGCTCTCTGCAAAGAACATAATCAAAATTATTAGTATTCAGAATTTTTAGAACTCATATAATAATAAGAAAGAGAAGCAAGCCATTCAGAGAAGAGGAAACGCAAATGTCATACAGTAAATACATACACAGACATGCATTCCCACTAGTAATTGGGGAAGTGCAAATTAAAACTGCAAAAGGGAACCATCCCACGTGCACCAGAGGTGGCCTTCTCATCAGTACTTGACACTCAGCCTTTTAAAATGCTGGCGAGATTTATTAAGTGCACCCCCAAAGTGCACACCCTTTGACCCAGCAATTTCACGCATGGATAAATACCAAGACAAAACCTACATATATATCTACACATTTGTATAAATATGTTGCAGCCTTGCTTGTATCTGAAAAACTAAAGACAACCTGAAAGGCCAGTGACAGGAAAATGCATACATTACTGTCTTGGGTCAGGTTTCCCCCAAAAGTAGATCCCAAGACTAGAATTTAAATGAAAGTGCAGGTTGGTATATGGAAAAGTGAAACTGGGCAGGTAAGCCAGCTCAAGGTCAGTGAGCAGATTGCCACTGGGTATCAAGCTCAGCACTGCTGAGATATCTGGGAAATGGAGGAGAAGAGAACTGGAGTATTTATCTCCTATCATCATTGTTTGAAGGTTGTTCACGACCGTTCCTGCCCTCTGTATGGGCTGAACATATCATACTTCAGCTGCTGGCTAGAGCCCCAGTGTTTGTATTAAGAAGCTACTGACAAGCTCAGGACCAGTGAATGCTAAACACCTAAACCAATTCTATATGTTTATGATTAACTATATGCATTAAGATCTTCTTACTTTTTATGTAATAAAAAGTATAAAGCCACACATAGTTTCTTAAATATTTTACAATGTAAAAAAATACAGAAGCAAAAAGACCAGTTAGAAGTTCAGGTAAGGGATTATGGTAACTTGGACCAGGGGGTTGAGTATAGTGGAAAAATTGTGATTCAGGATATATTTTTAATTTGGAGATAATGGGATTTTCTTTTTTTTTTTTTAATATATTTTTATTGATTTTTTACAGAGAGGAAGGGAGAGAGAGAGAGAGAGCTAGAAACATCGATGAGAGAGAAACATCGACCAGCTCCTCTTGCACACCCCCTACCGGGGATGTGCCCACAACCAACATACATGCCCCTGACTGGAATTGAACCTGGGACCTTTCAGTCCGCAGACAGATGCTCTACCACTGAGCCAAACCGGTTTTGGCGATAATGGGATTTTCTGATAGAATTTGATTTTAGTTTTGGACCCACCAAATTTGAGATGCTTGGGAGGGAAGAAGGCAGGAGAGGGGAATAAAAGAAAAACAGTAGAATTGTGCCTTAAATTTTGAGAACAAAGTTATTTTCAACTGATAAATCTATACTCAAGCAAACCAAGGACAGTTGAGTTTGGGGAAAGACAGAAGACTTTTTAGTTGTCACTTAGACTTGGGACCCGTTGATTTCATGTAACCATTTTCATGTATTTCTTTAATAAATACAATTATTTCTTAAGTTGTACTAGTTCATAAGTGCTGACTTTGTCTTATCTTTGAACACCTTCGATAAAATTTCAAAGACTCTTATGACAATTTATCTCCACAGTCAGCTTATAGATGTAGAAAGGAAAACATGAAATTTCCAAGGGTCACACAAATTTCCAAAGACCAGTTATTGGAAAACATCAGTCTTTCTGTCATAGTAGATTCACATTTGATTAAATCACCAAGTGTATCGCCTGGCCAATTTAACAGAAAGCTTATTAAAGTAGCTGAAAATGTGATTGTGCTATCAGCCTCCTTGGAGTTATTTCCTTTTCATGTCAGAAACCTTTTTTTTTTCTTTTTTTGGAGGGGGGTAGGAGTAAAAAGACAACACATTCTGAAGCACTAATGTCACATTTGTGATGTTTTCGGGATACTTTTTCTTAGAGTTTGTGGTTTAGTCTAAACAGATTGTCAACTACACTGGGGGTGTTTGATTTATGATTGGATTTTAGCTGTCACCCCCATAGTTCAGTCATTTTTCAATCTTAGATTTAAAATGAAAAGTGAACTCTGTTAAGACGTCCCCTTACGCCACTAAATATCCAGTTCCAATAGGATATCTCACTCTTGCTATTTATCAGTGCCTCCAGGTATTTGCAGCTTCTGAAAACATTCCTTTGGAAAATCAAATCTAAAAAATATTCAAAGGGCTGGCTTGCAGCTCTGCAAGCTTTTGACAATAATGTACATTGAACTTAGTTTGCTAAGAATCTTTTTCTTTGCATAGCCTTTGGCTCTTGAGCAATTTCTGGGAAATGTTGATTATAAGATAAGCTCTTTTCAGTTGGTTTCAAAAGGTGACTCCAGATAGGTAATTGTCAAGGAGAGGCTTCTTTTCAGAGAAATGAGGGGGTGAGCAAACCCCTCTGAGCCACCATTGTCCCTTCCCCTGCCTTGTGATCCTGCCCATTCAGTGCTTGAAAAACAGCCCTGAGCGCCCACCAGCGCATTGGAGAGCCTGCTGCCCCCACAGGCAGGTGCGTGGGGTGAGCACAGGAAAACAGCCCTCAGATCTGTCCTTGAGTCACTATTTAAATGGAACCATGTAATTGTCTTGTTGGAGACCTGCAGAAAGAGCTGGTGGGGAAGAATGATTTGTACCTGAAATATATTCACTAGCATGTGAATCAAAAGGCCACACGTGGATTACAATCATGATCTTGGCATTCTTGGCATTCTGCAGCCTTGAGGCTTGAAGGGCAGAAGCCCACATGCCCATGTTACCTGTTTCCTGGAATCCTTCTACTGGGCTAGCTTAAATTGAGAGGGGATTTGGTTTGCCTCACTGGCAGTTTCCTCCCGCTCACATCACAATTACAGCCTTGTTCGTTGTCATTAAAATACATTTAATATGCACTATTTTTGCATGGCCCTCTATCAAAAACTGGGCAAAGATACCGTCCCTAACACTGGGGAATAGTAGAAAGCATACTAGACACAAGGACAGAAGGCCTGGCTTTCAGTCCTGGGCCCACCTGGGATGTTCTTTAAAAACTTGAATTGCCAGGAGCAAGCCCTCACTAGAATCAGCTCACAGTGGGTGACTGGATGGGATAGGGTGCTGATGTAAAGATAAGTGCACACACTGAAATGGAATGTGAAGCCACAGGGAACCAGGGGCTGTGCTGACTGTCAGCTGTGCTTTCTTTCCTGCTGTGTATTGATTCCCTGGGTCCCTCTTCTAATTCCATCCTACCTCCCACAAAGACTCTTCTTTGGGATCCCAACTATAAGGTTCTCCCTCCTCCCAACTGGTGGGTGAAGTTATGACATTACTGGCATCTGTCACAGAGACATCCCCAAGACATTGAGCCACCAATCAGCGTGTGCCAAAGTGTCCTGGAGCCCACCCCTTCCTGTTCTGCCCTGGGTCCAACCCTCTCTTGTTCCTCCTCTTAAAAAGACCCCCAGACCAGCCACATGTTGCTGATCCTCCACGTCCAGGCTGCAGCCGGGCTGGGTCCATCCCCCCTCCCCAACTCCTTCAATTCTGATTTCTCTAGCTCCATAATGAGTCCCGCTCATTACTGGGGAATAAACTTTACTTTAAAATGTCTTGGTGGTCAGTTTCCTGCACCTCAAACCTTACACCAACTACTAACTTCTTTTCTCTGGTTCTTAATTCAAATTCTCAACTTATAATTGCCCCAACTCATTTTGTAAAGTTAGAACTTTTGACAGCACAATAAGGATTGGCTGCTTGTGGGACACGGTCAATCAACTCCCTGATCCAGAGAAGCCCTGCACAGCCTGCTTCCTTCGCATAACGTATGGCAGAAATCCTGAGGCCTGGCTTGCCCAGAACACTTGGGCAGGTTATTAACCTCTCCCAGACCCCATTTCCTCAACTGTATTATGATGGTGGTACTTGCCCAAGCCCACAGATTTGTTACTTGTGCACTATTTAAAAAATAATGATTGTTTATTGTTGAAAGTTACATATGTCCCCATTTTTCCCCCATTGACCCCTTCCAGCTCTCCCCCACCCCAAGCCTTTAGCACTCTATTGTCTGTGTCCAGGGGTTATGCATATGTGCATTCAAGGTCTTTGGTAAATTACCTCCCTCCTACTCCCACATTCCCTCTGGGATTCCACATGCTACTCCATGCTTCCATGTCTCTGGATCCATTCTGTTCATCATTTTTTGTTGTTGTTTTCTTTTTGTTTTTTTAAATATATTTTATTGATTTTTTACAGAGAGAAAGAGAGAGAGATAGAGAGTTAGAAACATCGATGAGAGAGAATCCCTGATCAGCTGCCTCTTGCACACACCCCACTGGGGATGTGCCCACAACCAAGGTACATGCCTTTGACAGGAATCAAACCTGGGACCCTTTGAGTCCACAGGCCGACGCTCTATCCACTGAGCCAAACCGGTTTCGGCCATCAGTTTATTTTATTACTTAAATTCCACATGAGTGCAATCATGTGATACTTGTCT